GGCGGCGGGTGCCGGTATGTTCGGCATGAATGACCCCGCGACCGGGCAACCCATGATGGCCGGTGCGCCGATCGTCGGCTATAGTATCCCTACCCAAGCCCAAGTCCCCGTGGGGTACGGTTCGCCGGCAAAGCAGCCGATGTCAGGTGACGGGAATGCCTAAACTAATCTACGCCAATAGCATGATAATCGCACTCGCTGTACCCTGCCGACTTAAAGTCTTTCTTTATTTTTCATTTTTTCTCCTTTTGGCCTGATTGCGTCGCAATATTGCATCCTAAACAATGTGAAAGTCCACAAGATATCTAGAAAAACATACAGATTTTTAAAAGATAATCTTCAGATATCTGCGAGATGTCTCTTGGACTTTTGTATTGTCCAGGAATTGCTTTTTCAATTTATATATATTGCCCGATCAGCAAGATGTATTAAGTATTTATATTTAGGCACGTGAGAGCATTAGATAATTCTGATTAATTTTAATGTTTTCACGAGTAGATAAGCATGCTTGTGTTATTTATAACATTCTAGACATCGCAAAAATTATTGAAGAAAAATAGACGATTACATCACTCTTTGCTTAAGTATATCCATAAAACACGATAACCTCTGATCGTTACTTTTTTTTACACATAATTTGCAATTCAATTTGTTTACAACAATTTGCATGTTCGTGACTTTAATTGTACAATATACATAATTCTGCGTTATTTTGTTTAGAGAATTTACAGCACGTTGTTATAGAGATTTTAATAACGGTTTTGAATCCTTTGAGATTAAATTCCTTTATTTTTTGTTAATCATGAAATCCACTTAGTAATTATGCTTAATTCTATAAATTTATAAAAATTTATATAAACTTCGCGATTTATTTTAAATTTAAATTTTATATTCATATCTTTGCTCGACGTTATAGATGTTGCTTAGGAATTTTGACAATGTGATGCTAGTATGTCTACGATTATCTTGAATTTCATTTCATTTCAGCGGGGCAACCGGTCGGTGCAGCCAACACCGGCAAGGTCCTTACCGGAGATTTGGACAGCAGCTTAGCTAGCCTTGCGCAAAACTTGACCATCAATAAGAGCGCACAGCAGCAAGTCAAGTAAGTATGATCACATTTTTATTTATGAGCAATTTGATTTCCAGGGTTATGTAAATTTTAATATATTTATGAAGATGATAATAATAGATTCATATAAATAATTCATAAAATATTCCGAAGTTGAGTTTATGTAACATGTGAAGCGATAAATATTTTTCTCTTGCAGAGGAATGCAGTGGAACTCTCCGAAGAATGCTGCGAAAACGGGCGGTTCAGCCGGCGGATGGTCACCGCAGCCAATGGCAGCTACTACTGGTGCTGGATATCGGCCCATGGTAAGCCTTTCTATTTTAGTTTTGTTGTCGTAAAGTATCTTCAGCATGTTTCTTATGATTGTCAATACACCAAGATACATACACGTACACACCCACTATTTTTTATGCATTATTTTCAAAGAACAATCGCTCCCACAATAAAACTCGATTATTCTCATTCAGAATCGTAGATTATTACTTTGTTTGTTTCTTACGGTATCGTTTCAATTTTACGTCGTAGGAATCCTACGTGGACTAGTAAATTATTTTAGCTTGTTAGCAATCTGCTAAGTGCATAACATTCTCGTACCTTCAGCTAGATATGTTGAGATGTAAGTTTATCATTAAGCCATCTCGTCCGCCGTGGGACTCTTCTGCTCTCTTCGTGATATCGTAACGACAATTTTCTCGTTAATTAGCACCGTTTAGGTGAGTGCGTTTTGCATGCACAGCATATGGCATGTTATTGACTATGTTGCAGGGCCAAGGAATGACGCAACTACTACCTACGAGCACCACGACTATAGGTTTCCCCTCACAGCCAGCGATGATGGTAAGTCCCACGATCGCGAACGTCTTTTTTTCACGTGCAACGAACGAGATGTGTAACTTAATAAAGCACCAAACTCATCTCACTTCATCGGATCACGAGTTTCTGTATACAAGAATAAGCGTATGATATTACGAATTGTCACTAACTCACTCTGTCAATAATGACAGATCGTTGTACAAATCGTATAACGACCTTTATTTCACGTGGCAAAGCGACGAATCGTCGCAAGATGACAATCCGATTCGACACCTCATTCCGTTTCCTCGCATTATGTGCTTATGCATCGATATGTACTTTTAGCGCACGTTTCAAGAATGTAGTAGACAGTACTTTATCGCAGTTATTTATGTTCCTATAGATTGATTTTCAGATTTATTTCCTCTTATACTTGGCTGTAATTTGCTTGCGGTGTTAATCTCTAATGTAGATAACATAGATAAGTTTTAGGATTATACAAAGCGCGGTCGTGTATAAATATTTATTACACCGATATGTACAGGTAACATATATTAGAATAGATTAAGCTACACTATATTTCCTGCGAGAAAAACGTCTCAAATATAAAAAGAGAATTGAAGAAGAGACTGGTCTTGTTTAAAAAAAAAAGTATTTATAATATTTATTTTATCTTATAAATTATGTACTTGTGATTACAGTTCTTTTAAAATTAATGTGGTTGCTATTGTTTTCAGAGTAATATCTATAAGATAAAACAAGAAGAACAAGGAAACCATCGGAACCGTCTCTCACTGATTTTGATATTCTTTAGATATATTCTAAAATCTAAAGCATCAAAAGTATTGAATCTATATTTTTTTGTCTGTTTATATGAAGGATCGAAACAATTCCTGCAAGTAAGAATAAATTAAAAAATTTGACATTTTCAAAAAATGTGAATATGCAATTATATTAAGAGTATAAAATATCATAAAACTCTCTCTCTCTCTCTCTCTCTCTCTCTCTCTCTCGCTCTCTCTCTCTCTGGATGAAACAATTTTTATATCTCTCAGTTTTAAAGATATTCGCTATAAATGAAAAAAAAATCCATTATTTTCAAGAGATTATTTTAAAGTTTGAGATAAGCAGATAAAAAGTATAGGTTTAATATTTTTTGATGCTTTACAATACATATAAAGCTTATCAAAATTAGAAGAATAGTTTCGACGTTTCCCTTCTAAGTATTTTTATTTTTTCCAGCCATTGCTTAAATTTCAATTGTTTACATAATGTAAAAATAATGATCGATTGTTCTAATCGTTATTTTGACATTAAGGAAGACGTTAACTTTCGCAGGCACACGCTTCCTTTTGTACATACGTCTCATTTCTCTCGCTCTCTGGTGTCTGTAGGGTATGCAAGGTATGCCGATGGGCATGCAGGGTATGCAGGGTATGAGGCCGATGATGTGTACTATCCCAGGTGCTTCCGCCGCCGGTGGCGGTATGATGGTTGCGGGAGGAGCTGCGCCCATGATGGCCATGCCCGGTGCGAATCCTATGATGGCTGGTCCTAATTTGCAGCAACAACAACCTCAGCCTGCTGCAGCAGCTCAGCCACAAGGCAATGCTGTCCAACTCGATCCTTTTGGTGCTCTGTGAAGGGATTAGGTACCTACCTTCACTTACCATTCTGTGTGTCGTGTCGTTGCTGAAGATGTCGTGGCGTAATAATAGAATGATCTGTGATAAGGAACGCGTGCCGACTAAGGATAACACGACAATCTGCAACTTTGATGGATAATGTTCTCGTATCAAAACTGAATTTCCTTCCTCGTATTTTATCGAGAAATCTCGAGAATGACTTAGTATCTATATAATTTTATTAAATTCTGTTTAGGCGAAAATTGGATCTGTGTTGGTGTAATTTTGTGTAATTGTATATTTTACTTCTTAAATTTGAACTCATTGCATTTTTATACAAGTCTTATATTTCTTTTTAAACGGTTTGAATGGGTGTCGCTCTAATGCTAGGGATTAATGTATAATAATCTTTGTAACTTATATATTTGTGATTAATAATAGGTGTCTTGTAACATTCATTCAAGATTTTACATACAGCGAGTACGTTTTCCAAAGTTGTAAATTATTAAATTTCATAGTATGTATTTTTGTATAAAAGTAGAACGTAATATAATTTTTAGTGAGTAAATGTTTTTTGTATTAAATTATATAAATATAAATCTTATATCTAATTCTATTTTAAATTATGGATTGTCTAAAATGGACTTTACAATGAACGAAACTTGATTGCTTCGTGTTACTAATAATGCACACGTTTACCTTTCCTCTATCATTACGCAGCATTATCATCAATCTGATCGATGCAAAGAAAAGGAAAACATTCCAAGATTAATCCTTTCCCTGTAAATATTGATTATTAATGACTAAAAAAATAGATTAAGTTGTTATTAAGTTAAATAATTTTTTACTTAACATGACATTCTATTTTTATACTAAAGTAGATTATAAATGACTGTTTCAGGATTCCAAATGGAATTGAGAAGAACGAAGCAACATTTTGTAAATATCATGTAATATGCCTAGAAAGAAAAGAAACAAAGCTAATGTATCCCGCTTTTTTCTGTTAGGCCCAATCAATCTTGAATCATTGATTGTCACTTGAATCGTCTCACTATAAATAGGAGTCGGTAAATTGTATCATACTTCCTGTAATATGCTCGCCGAGTATGCAACACGTGTTATTCCGATATAGCGTCCTTCCCACGAGCATTAGCAAAAGTTAAATGTTGTTTAAGTGAATATCTGTCTACTTTTTTATGCAAAAAAAAGGGGACAAATTGAGTCTGAATTGCGCGTAGACAGGGCGCTTTTCTCCGCCTTGAAGTCCCGTAGCCGGGCATAATTATGTAGCTTAGATGAGAGTTGTTCGGAACGCGAATTGCGTTTAGAATGACACGAACGTGCGTTGAATTTTCCTGGTGAGGATTAACTGTGATAGTACTGCGCCGTGTGCCGCGCTGAACAGTTTTTCTTCGTTGACACGTCGAGTAAGCCTATTATCGAGGAGATGCATTTTCTAAGTTCGATGAAAGATTTCCGTAATTACGTAGCGATATTTAGGTGCGACTTAGTTTTTACATTGGGGAAGAGAGAGATTGTATATCCGATAGAGAGATCGGTAAGAACGCATTATTGAATACGGTGAAAACACTTGGTTCGTCATGGTTCTAAACGTATTCGCGTTAGATTATATACACGTAGCTGACGATTGCACATACCAATGTCCGCGTTAAACGTTAAAGGCGCAAGACGGAAAAAAATCGAAATAAAAATCGCATCGGGCATATCCTCTTTTATTGTAATATAGTATATATATATATTGTTCTGTGAATGTACGGATATGTAATTTCGGGATGATGCGAGGAAGAGAGAGAGAAAGACAGTTTCGAGGAAATTCTTTCGTCGAAGTATTAAATATTAAATACGATAAAATATTACACACACAATATAAATATATATATATATA